GTCAATATCCCTCCGTTCCACTCTCGCTCCGAAGCTCGAAGCCCGATCATGTGACGTTGAACCAACATCTTATGAGTTTCGTTAGCACTTTCCCCACACCCTGTATCAAGGCATCCTCCTCCAAAGCACTCTAGCCTCTCTCAAAAGGGACCTACTAAGACAGCAAGCCAGTAATAGACGGACGGAGTTCCAGCTGGCCCGCGGCATGGACGCCCATGGGCCAACTACCGTAAGCAAAAAAATTGTGTCTAAGCTCCACAGCCCGGAGCTTGCTTTAGGTTGCTTTGAGGTTCACCGTATTGAATCTGCGAAAGATACACAAACACACGTACACACACATATACACACGAACTTGCAAACGCGCACAAGTACCCATGGGTTGGGGATTCAATGCGTCAATGGTTCGGGGACAATACACCCTTGCCACACCGCAGCGGGTTTTGCCGGAATGAAAAAGGCCTACTTGAGGCCACTACGATAGATGGTTAAGTAGAGTAGCGTGCGTTTTCATGCCGGGCGGCTGTTCATGCCGGTGCTTAGTTAGGAGCCTTTTCACATTTAGGAATAGTGGGTAAGAAATAAAGGGGAACTGTTAAATAAATTTACATTGTTGATTGGTATTAGCTCGAGGAATTCAATGAGTAGGACGCAATCTACACAAGGTCAAGCTAGGAATCCCACTCAGCTACTGGACCAGCGATATAGGCCAACAGCAGGCGGACGAGAAAGTTATATGGCTGTATCCGCTGTGTGAAGTGATTTTCTACCCAAATGCTCGGTAACAAATCTGGTAGTAACTTGCCCTCACGCGTCTAAATAAAAAAAACTTAGTGCCTTCCCAGACATTTAACGTTTTTTTTATTATATGAATGAACGTATTGTGTCAGCATAGTTGTTTTGTGATTAAATCGGCCTGCATTTTGGAAGTTCAGTAAATATTGTTAATTTAAATGCTCAAAGAATGTTACCACACCGGGAGCGGCTTTGCATTATTTAGCAGAGTCGCTTATATTCATAGTATTATATGATATCACACATTAGAATTTCTAGTTAGGATCGCAATGGCTTATAAAATTTGAAGGCCGATTTATCTAATAGGTGAGCCGCAAATTTTCGCTCCTCGTTACCGCATTACCGATTTCCATTAACTAGACAGATCATATTCCTTTACATTTTCTTGTCCCAACGTTGCTCCATAGTAAGCAGGTAGAGTTAAATAAGATCTGAACAAAAACGTGTTTGATTAATGGCAGCCTACGAAGTTAAGTTCAAGATTCTCGCTTGCCACCTTCAGTATTCTTCGTCGCTTATCCCCCTTACTGCCTACTCTCTTTCAATTCATCCTTGCCCGATCAGGCTTAGCGTCTTCGTCTACTAGCCTTTTTTAAGATTTGCCGCCTTTGTCTGCGCGCCCTACCTGAGTTCGTGTGAAAACGCAGTGGTTCGCTTGCTGTACTCGGGTGCAAAACATCTAACCATTGGCAAATCGTTCGTCAGATGTCGGGGCCCGTCCGTGCGTGTACCGCGCTTATTGCCAATGCGGAAAACCCTCGGGCGACAATGTTTACAAGATAACTGGTGAAGGGTCGGGTAGTCGGTTGATGCTGTCCTTTTGGCTACTGTGATGACGCGTCTGCGTCACAGAGGAAACCGGTTTGCGCGTTTGACTGAGGTGCCGACCAGGGAATGGGAATATATAGGGGTTTGAATCATCGGGGGAATGGAACATGATTTACGAGGTTTCCGTCGGAGCCTCTCGGAAGAGGGCGTTGTAAACGAGTCAAGAATACTGATGAGAGCAGATGACACTAGTCGGTGAGGGGCTGGCTGCCCCGACGAGCTATAGTTCCTCCTCTAAGCCCCCAGTAAGTATTTCAGGGACGTTTGGTGTGCGCTAGCAAGTGGTAGCACTCTACCTCCAATTTCCGATTTGTACTGTCGGGCCACAGACCGATAGGTTGCCATCTTGTTTCGTGGCCTAGACGTTCCCGGTCCTCTTCAAACAAAAACATGTTCCACCACTTGAAAGTCGATAGCAGTTGTTGCTGACTGAAAGACCAAGCACGAAGCAACGATCGATATCGAAGCCGCAAGCGATGCAAAAGCAGAATTTGGTGATCTGGGGTGAGAGAACAGGAAGAAAAATGGGTGGAAACATCTTCGAAACGCTTCTACCCTTTTATCATCTACTTTGGCCTTTAGTTGGCCCCCGCTTTCCGATTCAACACACATACACGCACACACACACACACACGCCCATATATATGTATATAATATATAGAGCACTCATCCTGCATCATGATGCCATATATATTGTTGTTATTATTATCTTGTTGGCAATATAACAGCCCAGAAGATACGAAGCAATGCAAAAGGGGGAGGGGGTACGCGGCCTACTGGCGGCTAATTGAATTCAACACATGCGGTGCATCCTACTTGCCGATATTCTACGTTGGGTCTGCTAAGCTTTTTCTGTTGTATCTTTGGTCCTCAGTACTTGTCTTTACCTTACTTGCTGCCGCGGGTGTTCGGCAAACGTTCCGTTTAGGTTCCTCACTGTACAATGGAGCGCTCCATCATTAAGCAGCTGAGAACATGGCAGATTCATGCTGTTACGATGTTTAACATGGTAGGTACGCTATTCGATATTGAGGTTTTGCTACTTTTTTTAGCCTAAACGTGTGACGCCTCGTTAAGCGACTGTGACAATCAAAAACGTTCAGCCTTGTAGTACATATTGAATTCGCCAAGCAATTAAATTAGATGAATATCTACTGTCTACAAGAATTTATTTTACTTAACCTAAATTACCTTATACTATAGAGAAAGGCCTTCTATAAACACATAGACCCGTTATCACAGGCTGTCAGTGAACGATTCAGCAATTCTACCCGGCGCCGGCATTCGAGTGCATAGCCTGAATAATCATAAAGGTAAATATAATAAATGCACATACTTCTTTTATGTACATTGTATTTCGGCTGCGCTTCTTGCAGACAGCATTTTGTCACTGAACGCCAGAATGACGTCGTGTTGAGCGGGCCGTGCTGAAGTGGTACGGAAAATACATATTATATGAACAAAATGCACTTTTCAGCCCGGTTTGCCCTTACCGAGCGCTTTTCCTAACGACGTCTTTGAAGCCGTTCTTACTGCGAGAAGGCGCAGGATGACACCGCATCGAAAAGAGCTACGTAAAGTGCAACCTTGGATAGGACCAGTTCGCCGCCAAGATCTCGTTACTTCCGAAGTCGCTGCTCCAACGAAGTAGTGGTGGTAGTTCTTATGCGACCTTAATGGTCTTAATGACGTTAACTCGACCTGGTCAAGGTTTTCTGAATTCGAGGAAACGGATCTTCATTTCCGTCCTCGGAGCGAGTGACGCGGTCCTTACGTAGCTGTGCCACGGACCCTTGCGACTTATCGGTGTGGGACACCGACAAGTTGAAAGCAAAGTTAGTTGGGGAGGCGCGCTTTGCTCAGTGGGTGAATCTAGCAGAACACAACCGTTTCGGCCATTGATTTCACTTGCACTTTGTATGTATGTATGTATGTATGTACATTTGTATTTTGTTTAAGCGGATAGTTCTAAACACGTCCACAGTAGATAGTACATAGTCGCATAATTTTGCGATGAACAAATGCTGAACAGAACAATGAACTAAATAATCCAACGTATTATTCAATTCATATCGCTTCCAGACGAAAATGATGGGCACGCCACCCGGAATTGGCATGGATATGCCACTTCCGGGTGATCTGATACATAAAATGATTTTTACGAAGGACGATTTTTAGGCCAGACTGGAATTTTAAATTCACCGCAACTAAGGTTAATTGCATTGTAACAGAGAATTTGTGGTTAATCACTGATACTGGTAAGTTAATTTACAGTTACCAACTGCTAATAATTAGGTGGAATAGCAAACAACTTTATAGTTAGGCAAAAATGTTGTATCAAGCAGGTGCACCCAAATAGATATATGCAAACTTCAAGTAGGCGTTTGGCATCGAGTAGCAGGAGATTTACTGGGATCGCTTCTCGTCATTGAATGTAAGCTACGATTGTATAAAATTAGTTCGCTTCGTTATATGTCGTTTCGCTGCCATCAGCAACGCCATGAGAATGTATATAGGAGTTGAGCCCCGTTGGCTGGGTAGCTTCGCGCTTTGACGAACCTCGATGTCATGACGAGTCAGCCCTTTCGGTTTGAGCCGGCTGTTCTTCCACCAAACACCCCATAACCCCTCCGTTTGCTTCGTGAACTCTCACTCCGCGCATGATTCTGCTGTTCCTGGCCACTTCCGTTATGGCGATTTTGTTATACCTATGTTAGGGGATGCTCACGTTTTTGTTGTTCCCTATCAGCATGAGCCAAACATGGACCTCCTATGGGTGCTTACAATCGTAAAGGGATCCCTTGGTATCCCCTTACGAATTTGTCAAACATGGGTCGGACCGATGCCCGTTAAAGCCATCCTTTTTGAGCCGAAAACGACCTTTTAGGAGGGTCGATCGTCGATAGCCGCCAGTCGCATACGTCAGCAGTTAGCAAACCACGCAGGCAACTGCTCAGCTGCCTTTAGCTGAGCCTTTTAAGTGCATCGCGACAGCAATGGGGCAATCGCACGCACGGATTTAGACACAAACAGAAGGACACACGAAGGCACATCTTCATACACATTTAGTTTGCGATGGAAGCTTACTATGACATACTCTCATGAATCAGCCTCAAACCATAGATTTTAGTTTTCAGACCGCTAGTGTGCAGCAATATATTGTTACAACTATAGATGCAATGATCTTTATAACTATTTATTTAGACTAGAGCTATTCTGATTATATACTTTATAGGGGTACAGTGGTGGTAGTATTGAGGTAAGACTGAAATATAACGTTTAAGTAAGGGTTCCTGAATATAAACACTGGGCAGGTTTAAATCTCATTTACAAGATGACTAGAAAGGTACTAATCGAATAATGATTTACTGATCTTTCAGCGTGTCAAGGTGATTCACAAATCACAAACAGTGCTGCAAGTGGAATTAACACCCCGATGGAACCCGATTTTGCCGAACCCATTCAGAACCAGACCGTTTCGACGGGCCGAAAAGTTATTCTATCGTGTGTGGTCGACAACCTCAGCAGCTACCGGGTATATACGTAAATCTTTATTCTACCACATATAAGTTTGCTTTTATTTGACTATGGGTGATAAGTAATTCTACATACAACGATAGGTAAGAACGAAATGAACATTTGATCTAGAAATAGATAATTTTTCGCCTATCAAATAAATGGTTCGCTAACTTTTCTAGACAATATGACCGACCGAGCACACAGGCGTACATATGATCCAGTTTTTTGTATGATCAACTATATTGCTACTATGTACATATACTCCACGTATATTCGTAAATAGGAGCAAAAGAAAAACGTAGCACATATATATATTATCAGTGATGGGTAATACCTATCATCCAATTCCTGTTCCTATATCTGCCTCCTTCCTAATTCACTGCCAGTTGCCCTCAACTTTGAGTGCCTAAAGTGATCCACACTCGCTTTAGGGTGTCAAGAGCCGACGTAACGATAGGACAGGGCCCGTCGTCGTTGTCTGTTGGACCTATAGGACTAAGAGGGAGGGGACAGACGACAAGCAACGTTGCGGTAAGCTAGGGGCGGTCCCGGGCGGCCACGACGTAATTTAATCCCATCCTCAAGTGGCTTTTGGAGGATGTCGACACGACATGAGGTCCGGAGGGCGGCAATAGCCAGTAAGGATGGATGCCAGTGAATCGATGAGAAGGACACTTCTCTTCAATATAGGCTGAGGATAGTTCTTGAGTTGTTTAGGCTGACAGGTTTTCTCGCTCATTCCGGTAGAAGGACTTATCGTCGACACTTTGCCCTACGTTGCCTTTTCAACCATTATTTCGCGGTAAGTACTGCCAATGCTGCAGTTTGTCGAAGTGACGAAGTTACTGGGGGGCTGGCGCTGATGCTAACGTCTATATCAATTACATGACATTGGTGTGGACACGAATCATCAAAATGAGAGCTTTAACCGTCCGGGTCTGCAGTAAGGAAGAACGAAAGCGCAGATTCTACAAAGTCCGTGATCTTCTGTACCCTTTCTCGTTCTCAATTTTTTTAAAGAAACGGGAAGATTGAGATGACAACTGTCTGAAGTGATAACACGACTAGGTGAGATCGCCGTCTGCGGTCTGTCCACGGTTAACGACCCTCACGACGTTAGATACGTATACGTTCCTATACAACGTATACATGTGTATGTATAGGCGTGAAGTGTAGGATACTCCATTTCTGGGTTGATGGTGAAGGGTTACTTGGCTACAGGATGGCCGCTTGAGTTTAAACTATCCCAGAGAAGGTAACGTGTGGATGTTCCAGGTTTGTATTTACCGCAACATGAAAGGGAACTGGATCATACAACCAACTAGACAATAAAAAAAAGGGTTATGGACGTCGTGTGCTGCCTCCGCTAAGGCCCGTGACACTGCCGCAGCTGGGTAACACAGACGTCGTTAGATGTAGTGGGAGAACTACGTACGATGATGGTATATGAGGGGAAAGTGGGGCCACTGCAGGGAGGGTACGCACAACGAAACTGTCGGCGAAAGGGGACAATTGAAAGGCGCTCTCTCTAGTTTTTCATCGCTCCTTTCTATCCTTAGGACTAGGGCAGGAGATTTAGACGGACGCTGCCTATAGCTCCAACCTCTTTTCTTTTTTGGCCTGCGCTGCTGTTACTACTGCTGGGAAGCCAGCGGCACAGCCACTGTTACCACCGATGCTGGCTTCATCGTTGTTGTGGTCGTCGTTGTCATCCATGTCGCCGCTTTTCGAGAGGGCGGGGCACGGTCCCACGGCCAGTTGGGCCTGTAAAGTTTTTGCGGTTCCCGGCCATCTATTTGGATACAAGTCCGCAGAGATGTGTCTGCCTCTGACCCCCGGCAGCTTCGCCGAATGCGCCGCTTGCTGTTCCCTTAACTCGGCCGCAGGAGTTCCTCTCGCTCTTTTCATTCTTATAGTCTCCGGGCCTCGACTCCCTAATGACCGGATATTCTCGGGACAATGGCTTTTCCGAGGCAATTCACACAGTGGCTACATATCTCCTCTTTATATATAGCACTTCGCCGCTTATTATGCATAGTAACAATCGTACGCTAGCTACACGATATGCTTTTCTAGGGCTAACGACAGGATACTCCTACTATTTCACATGATGCCATGGTTATGTAACTGCAGCAAATAGTATTATTACATATGTACAGTTGTATCTACATATCCTTTGTTGGCAAAAGTTGGCTAAATCCTCTATATCGCACATGCGTTACATTCTCGTTGTTACCTTTTACGTGGTTCCTCATCACAGAGACAGCACGGCCTTCAAGAATGTCAACACCCTAACTTTATGCCATGTTAATCGAACGTTCGCAATCGCTGTCACATCACGGACTAGGAATTTAACGCTATTTAAGCATTGCATTGCTTTATTTGATTCCTTCAAAGCCGGCAAAACTACGTGTCGCCAACAATACCCTTGCCGTTTGTAGATTACTCCAAGGCGGTCCGATTCTTTAGAGAAAACGTAGCTATGTTTCAAGATTTGCGTTATCCTTTTCGCCTCGCGTCGACGTCTCAGAAGCAAAATTTGAAGTTCAGCTTGTGTTGATCTCTGAAGCACGAGTGATTCTTTCGTAATTGATCTACTGCGTTTTCTTCAATTTTGCTTACACTTGTTCTCACGATTTGGGTTGTTGTAAGTTATAATTTAGATATAATTTTAAATACCTGCATTATCACATTCAATCAATAACAGATGAATTGGTTTAAAATTAATGAAAAATAAAAGAGAGCTTGGCAAATATTGCTGTATAAAAACGGCCAATTTAACCGTAAGGTAAAAAAATCAAATAGAACGATGACTTTCGGCGTAAACAGCTTTTCCAACAGGGACCCATTCGGCGAAGTTTAGATGGGAAAAAATCGAATCCAATTTAACAATTTGCAGCCGTTGGCGACGCTTCACTAGATATCTTGCCTCCAACGGATTGTTACTCCTACATACGGAAGAGATGGGATTTACGTAGCAGAGGTTGAACAGCAACAGCTCGTGTTGACGGGGCTGTTTGATACGAGCTGTAGGGGTATTGGGCGCTCGGTCATGTTGTAGACGGTTCAAAACGGCCAATGTCTGCCCGCCGTCCGTCATAACATCGAATAGGGCGTTTTGCAAGTAGGAATCAGAGGCGGCGCCCGCGGCGACTAACGTTCGCAGCAACCTAAAGATTTCAAACATACCGTGAAGCTCGTAAAAGAGCCAGTAGTCAGGTTTTCGACGACGAATGCTTTCTGAGGCTGTTTCCAAAACTAGATAAGCGAGCATGCTTACATAGAGGATTAACAAAAAAAAAAGAGCTAAACGTTGTTTGTATCGTTACTATCTGATGAGACGAATCTGACCGTCTAAGTAGTAAATATGAGTTTTCGTTAACAATTATTGTAAAAGGAAGGTTGCAGAGGTGCGCATTCGGTATGAAAATCAATAAATCTTCAATTAGCGGTACCTGCGTGTATCATCGATACCGCATGCGTCACTGATGTAAATATACATATATGTAGTTCGATTTTTTTCAATTTTTTTCATCGAGCCATTTGCAGTGTTAGTAGTCTGAAGTACCAGGTCAGTATTAAGGAACGAGTGGTCCCTTCTCTATGTTTGTTGATGAGACTGCTATCGTCACCGCGCCTGCATCGAGGGTAGACAAGTGAGAATGACCTAATAGGAATTCCTGTTCCCACAGGGATGGGAATGGGAAAACGACGAAGAAGAAAATTGCCGTCCGCCCACAATTCGATGCACATCGCATATTACTACTACACTGCGGCAAGAGGACGAAAAGGAAGATACAACATGCCAACCCACTGAGACAGCCATTGCCAGTCAGCGACTAGCAACTGACGTAGCGAGGCACTGTGTTCTTCTTCGAGTGCGCTCTTCCATTCTCCTTTGGCTTTTTGCTTTGTGGCAACAAAAGACGTCTTTCGTAGTCTCAGTGGCGTTGCCGTCACTGTTTCCCGGTTCTGTCCTATCGGCCTGCTGCTACGTACCATGCCACTGCAGAAAAATACCACGAGAGCTGAGAGACGCTACGTTGGCGGCGCGCGAGGCGTACGTAAAACACGTGGTTACTGACGTCGAAATAGAGAAATTCCTGCGCGGACGTGCCGGCGTCGCCTGGACTCATTTCAGTGTGGTAATCTCTCGACACCGACAATGGGTATATAAAAGAAGAACAACAGCAAAAAACAAGCGACCTCGGAAAAGGCATCACGGACGCCGTTGAAAACTCAACTGATGTGAAACGAAAATTCGAGCCAACAAACGGTGTCGGCCGAGAAGTACGGCAAGGAGGTTTTCTGTTTCTTGCTTTCTGCTAAAAGTCACTTTAGTCTTTGTGGACATCTGTGCTCATCTATCTATGTGCATGGTACCAGCTGTAACACTTCAACAACGATAGAGCAGCTGGCAGCACTGCCGATTCCTGCCCATAAGGCTCTTTATAGCGCTCTAGAGCAGAAAGAAAGTCCCGTTCGGCCAGGCGGACTTGTCCTGTCGGAGCCCTTACAACAAGCCGCCATGAGGAGCACAAAAGCCACTTCGGTCCTTCTACTGGTATCGAAAACGGCGTCTCGGTGGTCGGTGTAAACGCCATCCACAGTTTGGAGCGAGCGATGGCAGAGAACCGACGTAAATCATGCAGGATAATTTTTCACTAATTTGCGTCGTCCGTTCTGTTAGACTGCTGCCTAGTTATTGTTAGTGTTATATCGTTATTTTGCTTGGCTTCCTTGAAACGCGAGCAGAGGAAACGGAAGAGAGCAATAAAAGAGTAACGGCAGGAAAAACATAAATAGAAAAAATCTGAGGTAGAAAAAAGAAATCATGTCGATCCTGAGTACATATCCACGACTACAATTTGTACAATTTTTGACGTATTTGCAGTTCAATTTAAAACAAATGCTATATTGGTTATTATGTGAACATACGAAACCTCCATTGCATAATTAGCGTCTTGTGATGCATAACGTAGAAGGATATAACAAGCCAAGCGGGGTGTGAGGACGAGACAAAGGTGGGAACAGGAAAAGGCCGATGAAGAGAAAACTTCAAAAATTGTTCTCACGTTCCACGAGGCGGTAGCACCAGAAATAGCCGTAGCAGCTGCACGGTTCGTCGCCGGTTGTCAGCGATCCCCTGTGGCCTGCAGGCACAGGATCGTTTGCTGTTTCTTCAGCGTCTTTAAATATAATATATCGAGGATAATTTGTATCGCTTAACCTTTGTCGTCTCTGTCTATGCCGCTGTCTCGTTCAAGGGCTTTCTGTGCTTGCTTCTTCTTTTAGGAGCTCAGACTGACGGGGAGCCCGGGAAATGCTGGAGCTGCACCGGAAACGAGATATCGGAGTGAAACCTCGAGCCGAACAATCGCACTTGCCCATGTAGTTCCAGCGTTTTACCCTACGAGCTTCCATTCCGACCTCTTTACCTACCTTGGCTACGACAACTCTTCTTAGGTTAGCTAATGTGAGCATGGGATTTTCCGCTCTGGCGATGCACTTGCTGACAAGGCTTCGGCCTTAGAGTCGTTGCTGCTGTCGTGACCGTTGCAGGAGAGGATGTCGACAGTTGGTGGACATTTTCGTTAGGTCCGACCTAAATTTTTACTCCTCGGCGAAATGCAGCAACTTAAGTTAGCGTTATGATCCCGTACAAACACAAAAAGAGAAATGCGCTATTGTATTATCCGTATGGCTTCTATTGTCGTTGTTAAATATAACGGTGTGCTCATTGTTCAAATTGTAGTATTTCTAGGATTAATACTCATGCATAGAGATCTGCAAATCAACATAAAGGCGTACAGATACATAAAATATTCATGTAATCGCTAAATTTACGCAGTCCGCTAGGAAAAATGTACTGCGCCTATAAAAAGTAAGTAGTTCCCATAGACATTGCCTTTAAGAAGATTTGCAAGCAATGGTGCAGAGTTAAAGTAAAACAACTGTTCGTTTGTCGCAGTTGTGCTTGAAAAATCAAATACGTTTTCTTTTTTTTTTTTTTTTAATGATCAACGACAAATAGGGCGCCTGTTCTTGTTTTGTATTGTTTCTTTTTTCCTGATCTTTTATATATTTCCAAGGATAACTATAAGGAGCCATATGCGGTGCTCATATGCTAGTGGAAACCTGTGCTTTTGACTGGTAAACAAAATTTACTAGACTCAAAGTGGTCGTCGCAATTTTAAGCTCCTGCTAACGAACAATAGCGGCTCGCACGAGACATGAAATGGTCGTTTCCACAAATGAAAATTAATGAATTCAGTGCATCGGTCGATCTTAGCACACAAACAATAAATCCAACGCCCACCTCCCCGCAATAATAACCGGGCCAACAATCCTGATAGCTTTTCTATTATGCCTTTTGCTGTATAAGTGTAGTAAATGTAGTAAGATATCATACATTAGCAATGAATCCGACGATGGCCTGACGTGGTAAGAAAGCAAAAAAAGGCTCATTATTATTGAAACGTAGCTCTGCATGGGGAACAGCTTGATGTAACCGAAAATCCTTTGCCGGCACTATGGGGTGCGGGAAAAATAAATTCTCCCAGCTTGGCTGCTCCATATTTCATCGAACTTATTTACTAATAAACAATAGAAAAATGTTTACCCCACTAATGGGGGGAGGGGGGGGGGGCAGTTAGAATTCAAACAGATTCAATTCAACATAAAATTTTGCTCAGTAAACTTGCCTACATACGCACATGACAGACCTTCATCGAGCAGTTATTTAATAGGAAAATAATACAAATTATCTAATAATATAATAAATACTTTATGCCAGCACTGTATAAAATAAATTGTCTCTAGAGCAATCCAATTCAGTTTGTTAGAGGTCAATTCGCGCACGATCTGGTTATACAACTGCTTGTCACTGGTACCAATGAAACTGAACGCACCCCGCCCGGGACTTAAACTAGCCATATCTGGCGCTTCATACACGATGGTTTGGCCTTCCATATTACCATTCGAGGCCTAGTTCGCGACCTTTCCTCTGTTGGGCTGTAACTACCCTCGCACCTAGAAACTTTTTCAACTTTAGAAGCATAAAGGGACATGACATAAAAATTGTCGAAAAAAAGAGAGGTTTAATCCAATGATTAAAAACTACGTGGCGGCTTACCCATTATAGGCAGTGTTGTAACAAACTGCCTCAACCGGCTTATACGCCCTTCGTCTATTCTATTGCCCAACTTCCTTGTAGTATCCGCTTAGTGGTTGAATGGCCGCGGTGACACCTTACAATCTTTATCCTCATCTATGTCTGAACAGTGTGCCAGGACTAGTCGGTAGTACTTCGGAGGTTTCTTTTAGTCGCAATATGCCCTTGTAACCAGAACGAAATAACAACACAACGACAAGTAGGCGATGACACCAACAACACCGTACAGGTCCCTCGAGACGTATTTGCCACAATTATGGTCGCCTGCCCGTTTGCCGTCTGGCTAGACAGAGCTTCTCGTTCCACCCCTCGTCCGACCAGTCTGGCGGTTAAGGTTCTCCTTGATCTCAAGCAGCAGATGCTGTTGTAGCCGCTTGCCTAACGCTGCGCAATACTAGTGATCCTTTCAGGATGCTTAGACAGTAGTACGCCAGGACAAAAGAAAAGTGCTAGGAAGAGGGAGTAGTGGCGGGCCAAACGCCTGTGGGCCTATGAGTGGAACGGGACAGCTTTGCTAGGGAACCTTGGATGAGCACTAGACCGCGGTAGCGACGAGACCTCGAGGGACTGTAGATTGCAAGCGAGCGTGCATTAAGCTCGGTGGGAGGACGGAGAGACGAATTGGTGACGGCGACGGCGGTGGCATTTTCGTACAACATTGTGCAAACGCAAGGACCTGAAGTCAAAACAGTATCAACGGCATCAATGAAAGCATGAGAGTGTGGTCCCAGAGGCGAAACCAAGGCTGGTTATCGAGGGGAGATCGTGCGCGAACGTAGAAGCAGCTACGCCAGAGAACAAGTGGGGTCATGTGGTAGATCACTGTGAAGATGGCATAAGGGAAAGCGGAAAACGGGTATCATAGAGCGGGCAAGCTTGGTTATGATCAGGGCTGGGCGTGATTAGATGGCCAATCCACGCCACACCAGAGCTAGCCCATTAACTCGAGTGCTCAGGTCCTCGTCTCGACACCATACTCTCTGCTGTTTATGTGACAATACGTCGGCCAGCCCTGAGTGTGGGGACAGCCACCCTCTAGATGATTTGACGTCCTGCGTTGAGACAGAATCACAGGTTCATGCATGGGCTTAGGAAGGAATACTGTTATTTATTCTACAAAACGTACCTATACAGCGCGGGTGGAAACAATGAAAGAATACTATTTTCTACGTGCATCGTCACGTACTAATTAGATTGGTAGCCTGTTTCGACAAAGGATGAAGTAAAGGGATTTAATTCTTTTTGACGAAGAAAAAAAGCCCTAAAAAAATACGAACCGGACCAGGGTTTCCAGCGGTTGATAATCTCCAATAGACGCCGAATTGAAGGTAGCAGTGCAACTCGATTCGGTAATAGTATAGTTGTTATGACCGACCATGAGCGAAAGAGCCTGATTCTATAGTGGTAGAAAAACCCAATAGCGAACATGTGGGAGTCTGTGCTCTCTCCCGGCTTACGGACAGTGGAGATTTTCAGGCAGGAAGAGTCGGTAGCAGACAGCTTGGGAGGAGATCAAGAGGGTGTTTAATTTGATCTCCATTCTCTTCGTTTAATGAATTAAATTTTTTTGCTAGCCTCATGGAAACGAAATGTGGAAGGCTCAGACGTTTCCTGAAATCCGTTATAAGACATCGATGTATACATAGTAACGGCCGTAAGTGTGCTTTCATAGTGCATACATATGTTCACTGCTTTCTATTCATTTAATTTTATAATTACTACAAATTATTGTCCATACGAGCCGAAGTGAGTTTAGCGTCATTGAGGTCACATTAAGAAAAGTGGCTCTAAACTATCTCCGATTCTAGGCGCCATTTTGAGAAGCTTCCGTACTTAAGGATGTTTGTCATCTTTGCATCCTTCCCTGAAGCAAACAAAATGTATTGTCACTTGTTTGAACTTAGGCCTCGATGAGATACTATGTTTTTGTGATTTACATTACAAACGTGAAGAATCTATTTGTGAATGTTTGTCTAGATGAAAGTTTATTATTTCCGTTGTCTTATTTGCTCATCCCTATCCATCAAAATTTTCATTTTGTGCTTTTTATTAGCTAGCAGTTGTAGAAATTTGTTGAGCCCACTCGTAAATTTGATATCTCTTTTGATTTGCCCCTTACTGGCAAAATCCGCAGGTCGCGTGGTTATACGTCGAGAAGTACACGCTTCTAACTCTATCCAAAACGGTAATCACCCATAACAACCGTTTTAAGGTTACACACAATGGGCATCGGACATGGAATCTCGTCATTAGCGATGTACAGGAGAAGGACAAAGGTGCATACATGTGTCAAATCAATACTTCGCCAATGAAGTATCAAGTCGGGTACCTCGATGTTGTCGGTAAGTAACTTACTTGAGAAATGCAACAAGTTGATTTAGTACTTCGAAGTAACCAACTTTACGTGTGAACTATATAAAGTCGATTCTGCTTTGTCTAGCGTTCGAATACTTGCGAGTCAACGCGTCTGTAGAATAGCAACGGATATTTAATGCGCAATAGTTAACTAAATGTTATCTTAAAATGGTCGTCGTATTTCAGTTCCACCTTCGATAAAAGAGGAAGAGACAAGTTCGGATACCGACGTTAAGGAGGGAAGCGATGTCTCCCTCTTCTGTGCGGCCAAAGGCATTCCGGAACCAACGCTACAATGGCGCCGAGAGGACGATCAAGAAATGCAATTAGATCAATTTAAAAGTCAGTACAATCAGTATAATATTATGTACGTATATAAACGTATAATGATCCCTTATTGAATATTCGTGATATTATCTAGCCATTCATTTGCCAGTGATAGATACAGGTTTAAATTACTAGATAACTTCATCCATTAGGTCAAGACAAAGATAACTTTTTTTCATTTCTAGCTATTAGACGGATCATAAAAAGTAAACCTTTTCAAATTTGGCGCGCATCACTATCACTCGACAATCACTTAAACAATTGTTCTTCAAATAGAAAGATATAATGAATAAGAAGAATACAAAGAATGTCTTTGGTAAGTTTTTGTATACAGACGATCCCGCGTCACCAGGTTTAGTAGTACGCGCACAAAGTTCAGGTGACCTTAACTAGATTGACTGATATAGCAAACATTTTTTGTACCATTGAAAGGTAATAATACAGAACAATACCAATAGCTAATGAATAAGACACTAAGAGAATTTCCGGTTGCACTAGTTACACATATCAGTAATAGTAATAACGCAAAGATGCTAAATTGCGCGTTCTAAAAATTTAAAATCATAGCAAAAATACTGCCAAAAATAAAGACTAACGGACAAAACGAAGGTAATAAAATTATAGTTCTCACCTATTTTAGTCTATTTATTGACCTAAAATGTCTTCATCGCATGATATTTAGCCGCTCATTGGCGTTTATCTATCCATGCTGAAATAAGCAGGGTGAACGTTCCGGTATCGTTAGTCAATGGCTGAAGCCTGTATCAACAAAGGCCCGGAAAGATACGGACTACCCAAGCATAAAATGAGCGTCCATAGCCGGACATCACTTCTAACGCATTTGGCCTGTCCGAAGCCTTCGTGGCCTTTAACCCTACGTTGTTGTTGGTGGCTGTTGACAGTTCGAAACAGGAGCGGGTGATCACTGTACGTGTGTGATCTATCACCGCCCCGATAGGGTCACCCATTTCGTTAATAAGCTTGGGGCCCTATTCATTGAACCTGCTTTTTTAATAAGCTATGCAAATGTTGTTTTCTTGGTGAGATACGCGAATGATCTTATTCTTTTTAGAGAATTGACGAATTTTGGCAATATAGAGCGGTGCCACCTCCGTAATCACCGTCTCACTATTTAAGTGATGTAGAAGTAACTTTTTTTTCTGCAAATTCCCGACCAGACCCGTTGAACAGATGAAACTTTGACCTAATAACAACTTAGGTTGGAAATTTTCACAGGTGAATGTTAACGTTTCTTAAATAGATGATAATTTGGATTTTTCATTTTGTCTTTCACTCTTTAGCTAATGCTGTGAAGGGACCATGGTTAAACATCAGTAAAGTGTCCCGGCTCCATATGGCAGCGTATCTTTGCATAGCTTCAAACAATGTCCCCCCTTCAGTCAGCAAAAGGATTAAGCTTGACGTCCAATGTAAGTACAATGTTGAAATGCTTTTGACACAAGCCTAGATAGACGCAGATCACAAATGTATCACATGAAAGGACTCCACCGCCGAGAAGTCCACCACTGACCCATGGGTCCTGTTTGTTATGACATTTTCGGTACTTTAGTTGCCCCTATGGTTTGGATTACGGATCAATTGCTTGGACAAAGCGTCGGCTCCTCGGTGCGTTTGGCGTGCAATTTGGAATGTCACCCGCGCGGTCTTGCCTACTGGACTCGGAATGGAGAGATCATATCGAACGGGTCCGCAGGCGGGCGTTTCCTGGACGAGATTCATCCTCTTGGGCCATATAAACACATCATGTATCTTGAGGTCTATTGAAATCTGCTGATATTGGTTTAAGCTATACAATGGCTGCAGGAACTTGAATTTTATATGAACAGTTTTATATAATAATAAGTTTACCTGTAATTTATAGCAGAATTGCGGCCCAAAGTTATACTAATACTACCTATTATATATTTTAAATATGACCTACTGCCTGTGATGATGCACATATCTAAAAGCCCCCGCTTGGACACGTGGGCTCCGATTCGTCATTGCAGATTCGGAATATCCTTCCGGAGGACTTTGGCGAATATCATTGCGTGGCAAAAAATCCTCTAGGAGAAACCGAGGGAACAATCAAAGTCTACGGTAAGCTTTGTGCTACGATTGCTTGCACCATTAACTGTATTTTGATAAGGTAACGAAATGTGTAGAACATTTATCAAAATACATTTTCTACACGATCGAGTCGGTGTCGACATAGGTGAAGTCGTGTCTCGTACTCTGTGTGCATATATAACCTTCAACTTAAGCTTTGTTGTTCCGTCACAAAGACTCGTACACACGGAAATACCTCACTTTGCTGCGGCTGTTCATTTCCCATTTTTTTTTTATTTACTCGATTGTCTAATAACACTTTTAGCGTAGTTCCAATTATTAAATGACTGGATGGTGGAACTAGACGCTCAGGTTGTAAGTTCCTATTTTATTAGCAGTTGGATGGAAGTTAGTTGTAGATTGTGTTTTCCATCAACGCGGACTTAGATTCTCCCAATCCTCGTCTAACTAGAGAAAAGTAATGAGAATTCTTAAAATAGCTTTTTTTTCTTGAGTCGAGTCTCCGCTTCCCACCACGAATACATCCAGACAAATCCAGTCGTGTGCATTTATCTAGTGCGCGTATTCACTTCGGACGCTAAATGAAATAGCCTAAAATAGCAGCCCTTCACAGGACCAGTCAATCACCTGTCGTCCAAATTTTAAACTTCCTCTTTTTCCGAACTTACTCCAGTCGCCTGCATGACTGAGATGTATGTCTGAGATGGATGCAACATCTTTTTGTTTATTCCTTATATCCCACCCAGCTTTTTGACTCGGCGGCAGACAGCGTAAAGACTTCTCGCTTTCCCAAGGGCCGCATGTACGTGTTTTATAACATATATATCGTGCCCGCTTTTGCGCAACATGTCGGATGGATGTTTCGTGCAGCAAGCGACTAAGCAAAGTCCCAGCATTTGCCTGCGCTGTTAGGTGTCAGGGGCTATCGGCAAGAATGCCTGAATGACAGTGCTTGTTGACACTGGATATTGCAGAAGTTCCAGCTGTTCAGACGACGACAACTCGACGGCCGGCACCCCCGCGGGAGACTAGCCGTCCGAAGAACAATGCAAAGAGCAAAACCACGCCCAAAGGTAACACCTGCCCTGCAACCTAAACAAAAACTTTACTGCCGAAAATGCGTGTTGTCTAATGCTTTCTTAACGTGCAGTAAAAAGATGGTAAGGAATAGAAGAGATAAGAGTGTCGGCCGGAAGTCTTTCAATAGAAGCTAAAAAAAAACCGTGAAAATCAGCTAGTAATGGATCATAAAAGAAGGGAACACCAGGCCAGGCGTGCATTTATTCTACAATGCTGTCACGATTTGGAAGTAGTTTGTGGTCTGATTAACTGGCGATCGCGGACATTACGCTGCAAGTAACGCGCTTAGCTGAAGAGAAAAATGACATGGTAGCTAGTTACGGGCATAGTACGTTAGTAAAAAATGTTAGGAGATGGAGAGACGCGCAGGCACGACGTTCGAGTGGGGTCATTTTACGACGCTGAGAGACCTGTCTTGGCATGATCGTGCATACTAGGCCGTTTGTTACGAGGCCAAGCAAGGTGTACGTGGCGAAACGAGTGGTTTATGTTGCGACCGCATCTAAACTACGTGTGAAAACATACCGAACCGGGATAATGAAGTAGAGCTAGCCTTCATCAGGACGATTTTGCTAGACAATTTACAGTGAATATAGGTAAATGTTACACGAGAGACATCTAATACAAAAGCAAAAAAGGAGACAAAGCCGGATTTTAACTACACTATACAACACAATTCACAGTGATTCCTCGAATGAAGACATTCAATATCTTCACACGAATAGAAGCAAAATAGGATTGCATGGTTTAGATTCTTAAGAAGTGCTTTGAGTGGAAACACATTGAAGAAGCTCCTCTTCACACCATTTATTTGCTTGTATTTTTGATTACAGAACGTACTCGAAAACCGACACCGGGGGTCTTCGATCCGGACACGATCACAAATGACCTATTCCCGCCAAATGATCGCGTACTTTGTGAGTATATATAAAAATGGTATGGTATTGATTAAGAGAATACCATTTCACGTGACAAAACGGGCAGCCATGTGTGTTAAATGTTTCCTTAAATATATTCATTTAGTGACAAAACAATCTTTCGTTTGGATTGACCTTCCAGCGAGCTACAACTCAGTCGCAAACCCAATCTGTCGGTCCAACAACATATTTATACTGGCAGTCGTTGGATACTTCCTACTCTAACATCTTTACACCGGAATGACACACTTATCCCCTTCCAACGAACCAAATCAACTTGCCGAAAGACAAGCGAATGAATAGGTAACCAATCACATCAAGCGTTTCTATAACACTCGACGGGATTACTGGATATAGCCTTCAACAGGGCGCTCAGTCGAGACAACGGACTATGTACGCCTATGTATAGAACTTTGTGTACTACTACAACTACTATAATATTATAAAGCAATTACTTAATACAAGCACTATGATACCAAAGATCGAATATGTTTACAGGCGGGTGGAGATGTACCTAGATGAAAGGGGACTAAAGAGTACGTATACGTCTTCTTCGTTCTGTTTTTTTCCCTGCCTTCATCCCGCTGTAAGATATGGACATCAGAGAAAGAGCAGCACATACGAACAGTTGATTGCATTTACCCTATGTACTATCGTAATAATCATCAGCGGTTCATTGCTGGCATGGTGGATGAGAAAACTGAGAAACAGCATTAAGTTGATAGAAAAACTATATACGAGACGAGCTAAACAAAATAGCTGTTGAGCCAACTGCCCGAAAAAGTGGAAGTGGCAGAGTGGTTTGGCAGTAAATTTTCATCCATCCGAAGAAAGGAGAGGCATGCATATCAACTCTCGAAGCTAGCCTCTGGCTTTCAGCTGTCGCAAAACGAGAAGGCGACGCGAAACACGAAACAACGAGTCGTTATGTTCGCTTGCGCTGCCGCCGATGTCGGAAGTTTTAATAGGTGCTACAAACACTTAAGGTGATGAGAACGACAAAGGAGAAAAAGAAGTAGAGAACAGTATCGGCAAAAGGGCAGTGGGATCATTATCATCATCCACAGCGGGATCATCATCAGACGTCGGGGGGGAGGCGACGATGCGAGAAGCAAGTGCCAAGTGGCTAGTAGGTAAAAATCAGCTGAAATAGCGATAACAAGCAGTAGATAGGGCAGCGGTGGGAGGACGACGCTCGTCAGGGTGTTATAGACGGTAACGGGAACTACAGGAACAGCAACGACGGTAGAAACAAAAGGTGGCGAGACAACATCGAGCGGAAGCTGGCCCTCCTGCTCGAGGACGACGTGCTTCCGGCGACAGGCCACTAGAGCGACAGACGGGCTTTATTTCTACTCTACAGCAGAAGAAGTAACTATGGCCACCAGAATCTACATGGGCCAATACTACTGCAAACGAAACAGACATGAGGGGATGGCTAACGGAGCTGGTGTTCAGTTGGTGGTTCGCCATTTGCTGACGCCTCGGTCATTGCCAAGAACTGTCGATGTCCTGCCCGCTTATTCAGGCCACAATCGTTCTACGATCATCGCATCAGACGAGTGTTTCGTGTACATAACAAGCCAACGATATAGCGTAGATGGGTACTCGGTCATAGTGAAACGAAGATGGGCAGGGGGAGGAAGGAAAAATACAGGCCGCAGCAACAACAACAACAACAAAAACACTTTCCGTCGGTGCCTTTGCTTCTGGTGGGTCGCATCTACTATAATGTGCTTATTTTCTCTCTCATAAACGCGTGAATTTTTCAATTTCCCCTTAGTAAGAGATCTCAACGTTAGCGACACGTGCGTTAAAATCTGGTTTGTATTTATTAACTCTGTATTACTATTACTAACCCAACTATAATTCAGTGGAATGAAAAAATGTGCATACTTCTGTATTGTACATATGTGTAGGTATAAATACGTGTGCGTGTTTGTGTGCTGTGCAAAAATTCTCTGCTCCATCATCTTCAGTACAATTGAGTAGCGATGTATATTCGACTAGCAACTGGCTATAAGTCGTCAATAAGGCCGGGAAAATTATGGTCCTATAGCGTATACTAGGGGCGTCCATTATTAACAAATGCAGTCGGTTGCTTGATACCAGAGACCATAGGAAAAAAGACTACTCAGACCTGCAATTTACTAGAGTACATTATACTCCGTTAAAATTACTAAACAGTATCATTGAATCTATGTAACACACAATCGCAGACCTGTGGCAAATCTGTTCACGGCAGGCTCCAGCTTCTATTGAAAACAGATCACCGAAGAGTAAATAGTATAAAGATCTCGCACTGGCAACCAAGGGTAGAAGAATGCGACGGGAACCACGAGGTTTGTTGGCTTAATTGCAACTGCTGTTCCACTGGAAAAAGAATCGATACAAGCGAAACATGTAGGTGCGCATTGTAGTAACGAGCGATATGGCCGAACTGCCTTTTGAGATATTTGACCACTAAGAGTGAAAGTGGGACAAATGGAAGGAGACAACAGGATAATCGGTCGGCGTCTATGTACTATATTATATAAATTAAATGACGGACGATGGAAAAAAGTCTATTGTAAGCCAGATGAAAACTATGGGAATCGCTGGTATGTGGATTATTAATATGGTATTAATTAAGGACGAACAAGGTCTACGGATAAGAGCGCAAAAAAAAAGCAAACACATTTTAGGTATTTCTGGCTGATGAATGGCGGTGTGTTGCAACCGTAACTATAAAGAGAAGGATGACAGGAACAAAGAGGGTCGCCGTGTTTGGGCTCAGCAGAGAACGCAGGTTAGGTAAAGTAAAGGGTAATTTTATTGCCCCAAGATAGACACCAAATGCGGAATAACTAGATAAATAGCGAAGAGAAACAGGAGAAGCAAGCGTGACGTCTATCGTCAGAAGTGGCACCGAGTCTGCTCAAGTTGATCTACCGACCTGGCCTTGACACGATACGACAGGGAAAAGAAGTAGCGTTTTCGCGAACAACTCTTATTTGCTATCGGCTGAATAATACTAACAAGATGAAAAGTATTAGCTTGACCCTGTTCGGGGTAGGTCGGTTAGTAGTAAATGAAAATTTAGTTTTCTACATAAGGCTAATAATGTTAACAATAAACATCATGGCACCACTGACAATAGCAACAATGAAGCAAACACATAACAACAATTAATACATCTAACAGAAAAGTCATAACAGAAAATAAACGTAGAACTTATTTAAATGAAAAGCGACAAGATACAGGGGAAGACTCAAAACAGTTCTCCTTTTGCGCAAGTCTCTCAGGCCGTCGTAAGCGGTGCGCGCGCGCGCCCCCGACGGAGGTGTGTAAATGCGCGTGGTTTGTCGGTAGGCCGTTATTACGCTTGACTGAAAATGGAAAACGTGAGTCGACTGCCGCCTGCCAGGCGCCCGTCCGTCCCCACTCCTCCGACAAAGGTCAGAGGTCGTCTAACATCGGCGCCGATGTCGCCACCACCCCAGCAACTTCGACGGCGAAGATCGTTCTAAGGTCATCCCTTTTCGCAAGCGCAGCACAAACCTGCTAATGTTTCCATATCCAGCCTCGTCACTATCCCTGCGGCTGGTAGCAGGAGCCCCTTTAATGTACCTTTGCGGTAACGCGGATTGGGGAAGAGAGGAGACGTCGTATGATGAAACAGACCCCTTTTTCCCTCTTGTTGCCTCTCGCTCTTTTATTCGACACAGCTCACCAGCGAGGCCGGCTACGTGCTTATGTTTCCAGCGACATAGCAGACAGACAGACGGCAGACGGACAACTGAACACAGAATGAAAGAGAGACAGTGCGAGACAAAGAGCAAGAGAGAAACATATATGATTAGGTAAGATGGACAATGAAGCAGGGGCACAGAATAAGCAGCAAAATGCGGAAGAGAATGATGCCGTTTAATATGTTTATGGCCGTGGCCGTGTGTGTATGTGTGTGTGTGTGTGTGCGCCTCTCGCCGGGGTAGTCCTGTGCACCCCGTCAACGGATACCTGTTAAAGAAGAAAAGTCTCGCTGGTTGGCTGGAAGGCAAGCGGGTAGGCAGCTAGGCCGTTTTCGGCTGTGTCATAGAATGAAGTCAGGCTACTGGAGGAGGCTATCGCTCAGTTGGCAAAAAAACAAGCTGTACTGATTTACGTACTCGTCGTTTTCTTCATTCTAGGGAATGAAAAACGTACGCTAGATCGCAACTAGCTCGATTACAGCGTCCGAATGCAGATTTCGGAAAAACAATTCTATTTGCTTATATATATATATATATATATATATATATATATATATATTGATTTCATTTTTGGTGATGGGAAACAAGGGAAGAGGCAAGGAAGATGATTATAACAATCATTTCAAGAGCTGTAAAGAATTGCCATAGCCAATTATAAAAGGCGAGAGATTGAGCAAACTAAATAAAGCTGTCATAATAATTAATAAGGAAATAATAAGACAATAAGTAGGTAATAATAAACATTTCGTGTAAATATTGCAACGACAAACAAAAGCTATAACAACAACCAAACGCAGAAAAATAAATAGAATCTGTATATATAAACAAAAAAAAAGACAATTCCTTTTGTTAATTTGTATACAACTTAGTTAGAAAATATTGGACGATTACCTCACAGATTGCGTGTTACATTTAACTTCTGGTAGTTGGCTCACTTTTTGCACTTTTGGCATTTGTCTTGCTGTCAGTACCTTTCGGTACTTGCAAATTCAATAGATGATTATGCGCATACAAAATTACAGATAGTATACAAGTTCGCGTCTCATACTAGAAAATAAACCACAAATCCGAACCCGGTCGGTGCTGTGTAAGTGATAATTACGTAGTGCGACCTCTTTAAAAATGGCGAAAGCCTGTTTAGCTACGTAGGTAACATTTTACCATAAGCGGTGGCCTTTTTCGTTTCGCCTTACGCTTAAAAGAATGCTATTTCTCAGCCAATTATTACTGCAGTGTAAACTCAACTGGGCGTTTGATCTTTTTTTTTTTTTATTAGCTAGTTTATTTCGATACATTTTGTTGTTTCCAGCATGTTGTTACTCCTATGGTGCGACACTGACTGAAGTCCTCCAATATTATGTACTGGCCCTTCTTAGCGTGGAACTAAGTGTAATCTACGCCCGATTTCGAACCTAGGCCACCACGTGTTCATCTGATAAACAGGCAAACACGTTACCCACTGCTCTACCACGGAAGCAGTCCCGGCGATGGCGCAACGGGTACCGTGCAATGCTGCCTGTCTGCATTATGTTAGACATTGGGCGAGCTTCGATCCTATTTTGTCTGCCCCTTATGCCTACAAACACAATAGATGACTTAGGTTGACTGATTTTTTCTGCTAGCGCGAGCGTTTCTGTTGCTGTTGTCACTGCCGCTCCCATAGCGGCCCTCGTTCTCGTCGTTGCCGCCGCTGGCGCGGATGCAGCCAATGCTGTTATCGGCCTTACAATTAGTGATGTTGCGGAGGATGTAAGAGACTTAAGGGCGTCAACACTTTTGCTGCTGGTGGTACCGTCGCTGGGCGCCCGACAGCCGAAAGTGACGGATACGGGGGCGTCGGACAGCGCTCAAAGTGGGATCGACGAGCTGCGTGAGTTCCATTGTAAGTTTGGTTTCGTCCTCCTTCTTTCCTACCTCTTCTTCCACTTTCTTCTCGTTCGACTTCTCTTTTTCTTGTCGGCTGTTCAGCCACTGAGGCAAATCCCTCAGCACCCACACCATTACTCGTCAGCAAAGGCGGATACTAGGCGGAAGCAGCAGGCAGCTTTCGAGTCAGGCCCATGTTCGACTTTTTCCTCGGCTTCGTTTCGATCCGATCCGCTCTGGTCGTCCTCAGTCGACTCCTATCTACCAAGTCTCCACCCCACCAAGGTGTAGACAAGTCGATTGAAGAAGAGAGTAGGGCTTTCCTGAATCGCTTCAGGAATCGGCGAACGATAATGGCGCCACTGCCGTCACCTAGACTATCGCGAACGCGCCCCTTAAACAACTCCTATATACATTTCTCCGTTGCCACTCATCCTTAACAGAGATGAGATAATTTACCAGAAGAAAGTTAGCTGTTCCTACTTTTTGCTGTTAGCACCTTATTTATCATTAGCTCGCGTTCGCTACGTACTATACGTATGAAAATACATAGATAGCTGCATGTATATATTCGAACAAATATGTACCGGTTTTCATTGCTAATTATAATCGTTTGTGAAAGATGACAGTTGCAACCGTAGGATTAATAGTAGAACGATGCTGTCAAATGATCGGTGCATTTCCTCTAACCGCTTTACTGAGCCCTTACGGAATACGGATAATAATAGTTGGACGGACGGTTAAAGGTAAAATAGTCGGCCATCGTTTGTTCATCGGAACCCGAACTAACTATCTTATGTCGTACCATTCAAACGGTGACTTTTGGGGGCCGTTTCGAGGTGAGGAGGTAGCACAACGGAAATGAATCCTTTATTTATTAGGCCAGCAAACGGACACCATTGCTCGTACAGCGAACCAACCGTAGTTGGTCATTGTCTGCAGCCAGCAGTGGTGCATGCAGCGAAAGGGCAAAGTGGATGACGACGACAGGCATTGCATAAAAATCAGGCAGGCTCCCGTTATCCCCTTCTCCCCGCTTCGACGTAGCTTCGTGTCTAAATGTGGCCATTGGGTCCTGTCGCTCGACAGTAGAAGTCTCCGTCCAGTAACTAACGAACTAGCCACTCTCCCCCAAAAAAAACCACCGTAGTGCCCACTGATGCGACGTGCACGATGCGTCTGAATGAACTCTGCTTACTTTTTTTCTACTGAGCCATTCAAGAAGAGAAATCTGAAAATCCCCTGAAGTAGCTTTGTCAAGAACTAAGATACGATAATACATGCTGTATTTCGATCGAGCGAAACAGCTGAGACAAATTTCGATCTACGCTGCTTATCTATTAAAGAATTTTGTGCGCGAAATTAAAAACCCCCCGCCGAGATGACAGTGGGGCTAGGACACCGGGCTGACAACTAGGAAATCACAGGTTCTATCCCGAGCTAAATAATGTTATTAAATTTAGTTTCTAATTACTCAACATGAGCTTGTTGTACCTTCGTTTGGTCAGTTTGAATCTTACCATATTCCATAATTGGAATCGTATCCCATGTTCGTTATTGTCATCCGTAGTATACATCGGCAATGAAATGTACAACTGTTTTTAAAAAAAAAATTGAATATACATTTCCGTACGTCTCTGTAGTAATTTAGGATGCAGTGATCACTTAAACCGGAACATAGGATTGTAGCTAAATGTTGACGAGGATGCAATATAGCAGACAAATAAGATTCTACATTAATATCTAATGATTTAGCCCCGGTTTTTCGATCCCGATTTGAAGATCGTTCCGTCTGCCACGTACGTTATTCAAATAATTTGGAAGGAACTAAACACCTGAGGTTTAACGATGATAAATAGAGTTAGGCCTGCGTTTCTAAAATTAGCACTCAGTCTACATATTTCAACCCGAAACCGTCTGACATATCTATGGACCGATGCCTCATACCAGCAGATATGTGCAGTATGTCAACGGAAGTGAATGATGATCGACAAAAACGTACGATTGTCACGTAGTGGTCAGGTTCGAAGTTCACGTATTTGTTATGGTAAACCTACTAGTCAATAATCCTCGATTGCGCTGTCTAATAAATGACAACACTTTGGGCATATTTCTCCATAGAGCATTCCTGGTGTTAATGCCAACTCAGCCAAAATCAATACCTGCGGGGAGCTTGTCTCGCCGGGTTTAACTTGCCGCGCGTGCTCAGCTTTTTTAGCAGCACGGAAATACCGTGCTGCACGTTGGTACCTTACTACCATTATCGGAATACCTGTTCCGCATCCTCTAGACATTATGGATCACGTTTCATTGGTTAAGTATGTATTACGACTTATTTACTCGATACTGTAATTATTGAGGCAGCTTCGCGCGCGTATCTCCAAGGCAAACTTTCCGTGAAAAACGTTAATTAGTTTGTTATATTTACCTATCGAATACTGCGATACTATAAGCCAGGAGGGAGAGGCACTGGTAGGTTAGGTATTCTAAAACTAAATGCTAGTAGATATCGTTTTGGCAAATCCAATCAAAATGGGTCATTGAAACAGGTTACTTCGTCACAACATTTAGCCCCTTGAAACGAACCCAAATTTTCGCGTCTTTATACAGATTTTTATTTATATATATTTACACATGTCGTTTGAAAATAGATATGTATCTTAATGATTGAATTGTTTAAACCACAATAGGAAATTACTGGGTTTGTGGCCATCGTCTATGCCTTAAAATCAACCTTATTATGAAAAAGTGCTCGACTCTGATAAGAACAGGTTTTCCTATAAAGCCTTTATACCGCATTGCTGTTACTTTGCTGTCAAAAACTTAAATTATGTCTTTTTTTTGACTGCAATCTAATAACTGCCTACAACTTAGGTGACTAACATTGTTGAAATCTTTATATGTTATTGTGACTTTAGAAAGAATTTAGCTCACACTTCGGTAAGTATGGTGCATGTTTTCTTTTCATAAATACATTTGATATTTCTTGAGAATCTTGTTGTCTCCTCTTAAGATGTGTTTATGAACACTATATGTATATGTTTGTCCTAATATTGATTCCAGTGAGCCAATCTGCGATATCTGCCTGCCGTATATGTGCACGGTCCACGTGGGACAGATACCATTAAATGCTCAATCGTTTCTTCAGTATAACAATATCACCGGCAAAACATGCATCTCGACAAAGAGCTTGCTATATTTGCAAAGACAATTTCCCAAATATCCACGATCCTTCTCAGGGCAACGCTATGATGCCCTTTTTTCGTCTTCCTTTTTCCTTCGTCTAGGGTCATTCCCTTTTCCTGCGTAGCAACCCACGCTTCCAATCTGCTCCACTAACGCCTAGGTCGTCGAAAACTTTGCTCCTATTTTTGCTCCCTGATAGAGCCTCCAAGCAAGCCTGCCCGATTCTATCAAGCAGGCCAACACCGTCTCGGCTACACCTCTATTCGAAGGATCGGCCTTCTGGCCGTAGGCAGCAGAGGCACCACGGTACCAAAGCCAGCGCTGCGGCTATCCGTTCTTCGATGGAGTATTCGCTTTCCTTTTGCTTTTGCGCTTCCTCTATTGCTTTATATGAGAATATATCTATCTATCTGCCGAGCGCCAGTGGGTTCCGGACTCTTCTCACATTAGGGTAAGATGGGAGAGAAGAAGACGGGGAACTCCGCCGGCCACTAGCGCCAGCTGGTTCGACAAAAGAGCGTCTTGTGACGTTGGATCCGACGGCCTGTGGCTTAACTCAGGCCCGAAGAATCTAGGCGCGACTGCCCCAAACCCCTTTGCAAAGCAGTTCACCAATGCTACTCTGCTGGCCAGTGTCCCTTCATCTTTCCAGCCACACGCCAATCGCCAGCCGGCTGCAGAATTGCTTAACGCATTT